CACGCACACACATAGACACAGACAGACACACAGATAGACACAGACACACAGACACACACAGATACACACAGCCACACAGATAGACACACACACAGATAGACACACACAGATAGACACACACACAGATAGACACACATATAGACACAGACAGACACAGACACACAGACACACACACAGATAGACACACAGATAGACACACAGATAGACACACACAGACACATACACACACAGACACAGATATACACACACACAGATAGACACACACACACCACACACACACCACACACACACCACACACCACATACACACAGATAGACACATACACACAGATAGACACATACACAGATAGACACACACAGATAGACACACACAGACACACACACAGATAGACAGATACACACAATAGACACACATACAGAGACATCCGTCCATATAAACACACAGACGGACACACAGAGACACACAGAGACACAGTCGCACACACAGAGACACAGACAGACACAGACGCACACACAGAGACACAGACAGAGACACAGAGACACACACAGAGACACACACAGAGACACAGACGGACACACAGGGATACAGACAGAGACACAGACGGAGACACTGAGACACACTTATACTCACCCACACTTTTAGACTCAGATCCGGCCCAGCCACTAAGCGACCCTTGCAATTGCAAAGGGCCCCGTGGCCAGCAGAGGGCCCCCTAGAGTCACTGCGAGCTTGTGGGTGAAAAAAATCAAACATCAAAGGGGCCTCCAAACAAATTTTGCTCAGGGCCCCCAAAGTTCTAGGGCCGGCTCTGCTTAGACTCACTCACACGCTTGGACACGGGACACCCTAAGGAAGGGACACTGAACAGGAGGAGGAGCTAGACGAGGTGTAGGAGGAGGAGCCATGACGATGACGACGACGCCGTGGTGCAGCGGGGTCAGCGGCGGGGTCAGCGGCGGGGTCAGCGTGCTGTCCGCGTGGTATCACCGCGACCTGAGCCGCGTGCGCGCCGAGGAGCTGCTGGGACGCGCCGCTCGCGACGGCTCCTTCCTGCTGCGGGACAGCGAGTCGGTGCCCGGAGCCTTCGCCCTCTGCCTGCTGTGAGTGGCAGGGGGGTGCGGGGGGGGGGGCACGGGGGGGGCACGGTGGGGGGGGGGGCACGGTGGGGGGGGGGGGGCACGGGGAGCCTTCGCCCTCTGCCTGTTGTGAGTGGCGGGGGGGTGCGGGGGGGGCACGGGGGGGGGCACGGGGTGGGGGCACGGGGGGGGGCACGGGGGGGGCATGGGGGGGGGGACACGGGGGGGGGGCACGGGGTGGGCACGGGGGGGAGGACGGGGGGGGCACGGTGGGGGGGGGGCACGGGGGGGGGGCACGGGGGGGGGCACGGGGGGGGGGGCACAGTGGACGGGACGGGGGGTCATCTTTGTGGTTCCTCGGGGGCTCTTGGGGTCTCCCGGGGATTAGTTTGGGGTTTCTCTGGAAATATTTTTGGGTTTATTGGGGTTACTTTTAGGGTTTCTCTGGGATTACTTTCAGGGTTTCTCTGGGATTACTTTTGGGATTTCTGTAATTACTTTTAGAGTTTAACTGGGATTACTTTTGCGGTTTCTGGGCTTACTCCGATAGTGCGCTCTTTTTGAGTTGTACGCCTTTTGGCGTCATCTGGTCCAACACCAATGGACACTAGGCTCTAAGAAAAGCTGTCTCGGGTGTGGACCAATCAACTTCAAGGACAGTGCATATCATTATCATTATCAGAGTTGTTTCTTTTTGTTTGCATTTTGACTGCTTGTGTTGTGGTTATTGCAAACACGATGCCTTGTATAAAGGTGTCAGTTTGTGTACCAGTTGAAAGGGTAAAAACATATTACTATACCCTGAAATTAGTCTAAAACAGCTGCAAAAGTCCAGGCCAGAATTTTTAGTTGTTGTTGACCAGTGTTATTTGTCTGGGTGCCTCGCGGGAGGCAAGCTCCTTGGCCCACTGGTTTGCGGGAGCCCCTGAGCGCTTCGTGAGCGCTGATCGTGAGACCCGCCGGTGCCCGTGCAGCGTCCCTGGCGAGTCGTCCATCATCCGCCTACTCGCCCTCCAACTCCACATGCTGCCCGGCAGCTTCCGCTGAAGCCAGCTCACCTCGCGCCGGTTTCACATCCTGGGGTCTCATCAGTTGACATATCGCCGCGGTGGCTGGGACATGTTCATGATCTCGCCTGGAGTACGGGCGGTCGTGGGTTCGAGCATGACCCTGACGCCTGCTGCTGTATATTAGGAGTTTGCGTGTCTCTCTCATCATCACGGTGGCTAGGAGATGTTAACTACCTCGCCTGGTGTACAGGAGGTCGTGGGTTCGTGCCCGACCCTGTGACGCCTGCTGTATATTTGGAGTTTGCGTGTCTCTCTCTCATCATCTTCATCATGGTGGCTAGGAGATGTTGACTACCTCGCCTGGAGTACGGGGAGGTCGTGGGTTCGTGCCCGACCCTGACGCCTGCTGCTGTGTATTCGGAGTTTGCGTTCCTCTCTCTTTCAGTATCATCACGGTGGCTAGGAGATGTTAACTACCTCGCCTGGTGCACGGGCGGTCGTGGGTTCGTGCCCGACCCTGACGCCTGCTGCTGTGTATTCGGAGTTTGCGTTCCTCTCTCTTTCAGTATCATCATCACGGTGGCTAGGAGATGTTTACTACCTTACCTGGTGTGCAGGAGGTCGTGGGTTCCATCCCGACCCTGACGCCTGCTGCTGCTGTATATTTGAGGTTGCATCTCTCTCTTTCATAATCATCATCACAGTGGCTAGGAGATGTTAACTACCTCGCCTGGTGTACAGGAGGTCGTGGGTTAGATCCCAACCCCTACTGCCTGCTGCTGTATATTTGGAGTCTGCGGTGTGTCTCTCTCCCCGTGGTCGCGTGTGACACAGTTGTAGCTACACACACACACACACAGCTGTAGCTACACACACACACACAGCTACACACACACAGCTACACACACACACACAGCTACACACACACACACAGCTACACACACACACACACAGCTACACACACACACAGCTACACACACACAGCTACACACACACAGCTACACACACACACACAGCTGTAGCTACACACACATATACACACCACGAAGGGCATCCTCTTGCTAATGACGCCCAGGGATCAGCGTTCCCCAACGTTGCACAACGTTGGGGAACGTTGCACATCGCGTAATTGAGCGGTGCACTCTGGGAAATCTCCGCTGAGTCAAAGGAGTCAGCTCACACACACGTGAGAGAGTGGGAGCAAAGACAAAGATCCCCCGTGTAGCCTTAACAGACTGTTGGGGCAAGTGCTGTTAGCGAGTAGCACCTATGTAGGTCGGGACGGTACACGAGGGGGTGGGTGGCCAGCACCACGCCCGGCCGCCTTTATCTCCCCTGTGGCGATGTCTACTATGCACCGCACCAGGTACTCATTTGAGGCCGAGTCGACCTAGGGGAGGAGGCCCAGGACCAGTTCTAATAATCGTCACTGATTTTTGCCGGGAGTGGGAATCGAACTCGGGTTACCGGGTTCATAGCACTGCACGCTAACCGCGTGTGTGAGAGTACTGGGGAGAGAGGGGATGGGTGGAGGGGATGGGTGGAGGGGGTCCCCAGGTCCCCAGGTCCCCAGGGCAGCTGGTGTAGACCCAGAGGGTCACGCTCAGATCGTGTTCCCCACCTGGCATTGCTCGTCAGCACGTGACGACGTGGGCCCCACGTGACTCGCTGGATTTGTGTGGAATTCTCAAGTCGTGGCAGCAGCAGCAGGTCAGGTGGTGCTCGACTCCTGCCCTGAGCCACCGAATCACAATCTTCGTCTGGGGGGAATCCGATGACCTACGATCTTCTCTTCTACAGATGTCCAGTAGGGACCATGCTGGCTAGGAGATGTTGACTACCTCGCCTGGTGTGCTGGAGGTCGTGGGTTCCATCCCGACCCTGACGATGTCTGCTGCTGTATAATTTGTAGTTTGCGTGTCTCTCTCTCATCATCATCACGGTGGCTAGGAGATGTTGACTACCTCGCCTGGTGTGCAGGAGGTCGTGGGTTCGATCCTAACCCTGACGCCTGCTGCTGTATAATTTGGAGTTTGCGTGTCTCTCTCTCTCTCATCATCATCATCACGGTGGCTAGGAGATGTTGACTACCTCGCCTGGTGTGCAGGAGGTCGTGGGTTCGATCCTAACCCTGACGCCTGCTGCTGTATATTTGGAGTCTGCGTGTCTCTCTCATCATCATCACGGTGGCTAGGAGATGTTGACTACCTCGCCTGGTGTGCAGGAGGTCGTGGGTTCGATCCCAACCTTGACACCTGCTGCTGTATATCTGGAGTTTGTGCGTCTCTCCCCGCGGTTGCGTGGATTTTTCTCCGGTTTTTCCTTCCAGATTTAGAATCAACGTCATTTCGCTGCTATAAATGTTATAAATTGAGGGTGTTTTTTCTTTTCTTGTGTTAGATCGCATGAATATAAATGTCTCGTTCAACCCGCCACCTCCCAACACGGCCAATGAGAACGGGGTTTGTCACGTGACCAAAGCGTGGCCAATTTGTAGCTAGTTCAGCTCTCGCCTTGCCGCTGTGCGTCGCAGAGTGAAACCCGCTGCAGCGTTTCACCGGTAATCACGACGACGACGACGATGACAGCCGGCGGCAGCGTCATCAGGCTGCGAGCCACAGAGTCGTGGAGAAATCCTCCTCCTGTCTCTCCGCACGCTGGTGGCAAGTAGCCGTGGTCATAGTGATGGCAGAGTGACCAGGAGCTGTAGCGAATCCGGTGAGCGAGTGGCCGGAGCGAATCCGGTGAGCGAGTTGCCGGAGAGATTCCGGTGAGCGAGTGAGTTGCCGTAGAGAATCCGGTGAGCGAGTGACCGGAGCGAATCCGGCGAGCGACACCCGAACCGGCCTTGACTCTCCCCGCGGCGTTGACTTGCCCATAAACCCGCGGCCCGCCGCACGTGTCAACGGAGCCCCCCCCCCCGCTCCCCCGCGTTTCTATTGAGCGACAGTGGGTGGGGGGTGGGGGGTGGGGGGGGCTCGGAGAGAAATCAGAAGCGGCTCCTCCTGGCTGTGAGGAGGAGGATCAGCTGATTGTGGGTGGAGTGGAGTGGGGGGGTGGAGTGGGGGGGTGGGGGGTGGGGCGGTGGGGAGACCTCACCCAGCGGGCGGCCTGTGGGTCGGTGTTGATGGTGCCACCGTTGGCGAGGCTCCTGGTTGCACTTTGGGCAGCAGCAGCAGCAGCTGCAGCAGCATCAGCAGCAGCATCAGCAGCATCAGCAGCATCAGCAGCAGCATCAGCAGCAGCATTAGCAGCAGCATCAGCATCAGCAGCATCTCCCTCCTGCGTGATGGCGAGCCTTGCGCCACGCAGGGACAGCTGCCACTGGGGGAGCCCCCCCCTAGGCCGGACCACAGCAGCAGCAGCAACATCGCCCCCCCCCCACGCTGTAGGAGAGAAACTGGACACTTGTTATTGTTTACAAATTATTATTTTGGCCACGTGGCCCAGCGAGAGGTCGCGAGGTCATATCCCGGCTGGCCGGGTGGGTAGGGGAGTGGGTGGGGGGTGGGTGGCTGACTCAGCCCATCGGCATCCCGCGACCACGGGCACCTCGCGGAGGATGTCACCGTGCGGAGGATGTCACCGCGTGGAGGATGTCACCGTGTGGAGGATGTCACCGTGTGGAGGATGTCACCGTGTGGAGGATGTCACCGTGTGGAGGATGTCACCGCGCGGAGGATGTCACCGCGTGGAGGATGTCACCGTGTGGAGGATGTCACCGTGTGGAGGATGTCACCGCGTGGAGGATGTCACCGTGTGGAGGATGTCACCGTGTGGAGGATGTCACCGCGTGGAGGATGTCACCGCGTGGAGGATGTCACCGCGTGGAGGATATCACCATGCGGAGGATGTCACCACGCGGAGGATGTCACCGTGTGGAGGATGTCACCACGCGGAGGATGTCACCGTGCGGAGGATGTCACCGTGTGGAGGATGTCACCGTGAGGAGGATGTCACCGTGGGGAGGATGTCACCGTGGGGAGGATGTCACCGTGCGGAGGATGTCACCAC